AACCAATTGGTATTTCCTTCAGTGGCCTCAAGCTTGGCAGCGTGACCCTCTGCCACAGCAGTGCTGCTGTGCTGGGCTGGCAGCTGCCTCTCCACCATGACAAAACTGTTTGCTGGCACTCCTGACATCTCTCATTGAGGCTGTCACAACAGCAGCAGCTGAAGTGGCTCTGTACCCACCAAGGAGAGCAGGCTCTGGATCTCTGCCCTGCCCTGGGCACTGGGACATCTCTGTCTGCATCCTTTGCCAAAGGCCAGACCTGGGAGGTGGCACGTGGAAGCATCAGAGCACACAGGAGCCTTTCCAGCAGCAGATGGGCTCCCATGGGGTGTCTGCAAAGGGGAGCTCTCCTTGCCAGCCCAACAAAATGAGTTTAATTCAGCTCCCCCAAAACAAGTCTCCTAGAACTGATCATGCCTCATGGAAAGTGTCCTCTGGCAGCTGCAGCATATCAGAGGAAGGCTCTGCTTATTTCCTGACTGGAAAAACAAATCTGATGTTGAAATTGTGGCTAAAATAGAAGCCTTCATATCAGGGGGATGTTGGGGAAGGCTGCAGTGGGCAAAGGTGGTACTAAAGCTGACTCTTCCAAGCAGGCCTGGACACAAGAATGTTTTGCAACTACCAAAAATTCAGGGCTGCTTCTCAGCTTGGGTCTTGCATTTCACTGAAGTCCCTCAGTCCAGTTCTAAACCTGAATTCACAGTATGCTACCATGACATCATGAAGTCAAATGCCACTGGCAGTGGAAATAGATATTGCCTCCCAGGTGGGAGCTTCAGGAAAGTGTTCCAGAAGGTGGAGGGGGAAGGGCTTCCCAGGCTGAATTTTACAAGAATTTTTACTGGCAGAAAAGTCTCAATTTAAAGAAACACGTTTTCCTGATTTGAAAATGCTCCCCTGGGCCTTCTGTCCTTAGCTGTCTGGTTTCTGTCACTCTTGTGACATTCCTGAGGCTTGGCAGAACCCAGGGCTGCTTTGGAGGCATAGAGATGTGACCCTACTATGAAAAGCTTCCACCCAAGCAGCAAATCCTGGTGAAGGATTGCAGGAGAGATGCCCCTGGATGGCAGGAGGAGGGAGATGAAGCATTGCCACTTCCAAACCACCTGCTCCTCCCCAGGACGTGCTGGTGCTCCCAGGGCAGGCAGGCTGGGGCTGGGCCCTGTGGGTGTCCTGCCTTCTGCAGAGCCCTGGCTGTCTCAAGCACTGAGGATATTTTTGGAATTTCCCCCTTTGTCATTAAATTACTTGTTATTGTGAGCAGTGTGGCACTGGGGCAGGAATTGTGGCAGTGGGGCATGAATTGTGGCACTGGGGCAGGAATCATGCTACTGGAGCAGGAATTGTGGCATTGGAGCAGGAATTGCAGCACTGTGGCAGAAATTACAGCACTGGGGCAGGAATTAAGGCACTGGGGCAGGAATTGAGGCACTGGGGCAGGAATTATAGCATTGGGGCAGGAATTCTGGCACTGGGGCAGGAATCATGCTACTGGAGCAGGAATTGTGGCATTGGAGCAGGAATTGCAGCACTGTGGCAGAAATTACAGCACTGGGGCAGGAATTGAGGCACTGGGGCAGGAATTGTGGCACTGGGGTGGGAATTGTGTTGCTCTCTGCCTGAGCTTCCTCAGGGCAGTAAATGCCAAGCCCTTTGCACCATCCTTAGGGATTCTCCTCGCCCACCACGTGCTCTTGGCCTTTTCATTTTTTGCCCTGGCTGAGCCCTCTGGGAGCAGCCAGAAGGGAAAGAGAGAGGATGTGGATGCCTGAGCCCTTCCTCTGATTTGGCAAATCCTCTTTTTCCCTCGCTGCATCATTCAAAACGTGTTCAGGGCTCCAAACACATGGCCAGAAGCACTACCCTGGGAAGGAGCCCGAAGAGCTGCAGCGATTTAGACAAAGAAACCAAGAACTGAAGCCATTGCTCCTGTCACTGTCCATTTTGCTTTGTCCCTGCCAGCTCACCATCACTGGAAACAGCATCATGGAGACACAGGGAAGCAAGCTGGTGTCTCAGAAAAGTCAGGCTTGCTGCTGGCAGGACAGCTCCAGGTTCTGCTGGGGATCAGATGGCAGAGGAACAGCTTGGATGAAGCATTCCCTTCCTCAGCTTCAGCGAAAAACTCTTTTGGGGGCAGAAGACTGGCTTTTGAGGACGAGTCTAAACTTTGCACCTGCACCTCAGATTTGCCCTTGTTCAAGCCACAGTTGAAATATGGACAGGAACCATTCCCTCCTGGACACTTGCCACTGGTTCTGCCTGATGTGCCCCTGCTGTGCAGAACAACAGAGTGGCCCCTGGCCTGCTGCTTCCCATAATCTGCAGGCTGATATGGACCTTGCTGTGAAACGGATGTGGCTGACATTTAGCAGGAATGCCAGTTCTCATCAGAACAGTGCCTGGGGAGATGCAGGCTGTGCTCAGCCGTGCGGCTGACGAGACCTGCTGCTCTGCAGGCTCGGTCAGCACCTCACTTCATCAAAGAAACGCTCTTGGCTAACACTGGCTGATGTTTCCCAGAAATGGCATGGGCAGGAAAGATGTTTTGCTTGGCATAAACCGGCCTCAGTGCACATTTCAGTGTTCTTCTGGGTAGGAGGAATCACCTGGGATGAGTTTGGGGCTAAGGTGGGTTTAGCCATGCCAAAAAATGCAAGAGCAGTGAAAGAAATGTAGGGAGGATCAGTCTCCCCTCCTGCCAGCCTCACTGGCAGAGATCTCCCTGGATAAAAGCTATGCTCCATTTCTTATGATGCAGCAGAATCAGCAATATCCCAGCTGTGGGAAGCATCCTTCCAGGATCCCCTGTGTGCAAAGATGTCAAGGCAATTCACAGTCCCAAGCCTATTTGGGACTACCACCTTTAGTGCATTAATTTTACATGTGGGCAAAGTGAGTCGTTTTTCATCTCTCCCTCGACTGCAGACACTCTTTGGCAGATCTGAGAAGAGGAGAAGAGGAGCCTGTGCTTCCCCCCCTCCAGCTGCATCTGGCCGCATTTGAAATCTGAAAATCTGAAATGAGCACTGGAGCTCTCTCAGATGGATCATGCTTTTTTAATTTTTTTTTTTTTTTTGGTGTTTGTTTCAGCCACTTCATAAAGAAAACTCATCTTTCTACCCACAATGAAGTCCAGTATTTCCTAAGAACAAAGCACTGGGTTTGCCCCAAATACCAACAGAAGGGCTATGAGTCATAGGGAACCCCACGAAGGTTTGATCCCCAACTCCAAATGCTCCGTCCCAGGCTGTTTTGGGCTGACTCAGGACAGCCCTTTGGCACAAGCAGGGGAGTGCCCAGCTCTCCAGGGAGCAGCTGGCAGTGCTGCAGCCGGGCAGACACGGGCACATCCCTCCAGCGCAGGGCGCACCCGCCGGGGCCGCTCTTGTCCTTGCAGCCCCCTGGGCGCAGCATCCCCCAAAGCTGCCAGCGGCTCCCGGGGAGGGGGACAGCGACGTGGCGAGGCCGAGCGCCTCGGCCACCCCACTTCATCGCTTCCAGCCTCCCGGCAGGGCTGGCAGGGGCAGCACCGCCCGCGGGGCCAGCGCCGCTCCCCGCCCGGGGGCCGCGCATCCCCCGCCAGCTGCGGGATCCAGCTGCGGGATCCAGCTGCGGGATCCAGCTGCGGGGTCCAGCTGCGGGCTCTGCTCCGGCAGCGGCGGCGGCTGCGGCGGAGCAACAGCGGCCTCCAGCGCCGAGAGCTCCTCCCGCGCTGCCGGCAGGACCCGCACCCCGCGCCGCGCACCGCCGCGGGGCCGCGGAACGGCCTTCCGAGGGCTTCTGGTCCAAACCCCCTGCCGTGGGCAGGGACATCTTCGGCCAGGGGGCTCAGAGCTCCCTCCAGCCTGATCCTGAATGTTTCCGGGGATGGGGTATGCACAACTTCTCTGGGCAGCCTATTCCACTTGCTCACCTCCTTCATGGCAAAAAAACTTCCTAGTATTTAACCTAACCCTGCCCTCTGTCAGTCTGAAGCCATCCTCCCTTGTCCCGTCACTCCAAGCCCCTGTAAAAAGACTCTCTTGGAGTCCTTTTAGACATTGGAAGGGGCTCTAAAGTCTCCCAGGAGCTTTCTCTTCTCCAGGCTGCACATTCCCTCCAGGCTGAGCATTCCCTCAGACTGTGTCTATAGCAGAGGGGATCCAGCCCTTGGAGTGTCTTCGTGGCCTCCTCTGGACTTGCTCCAAGAGGCCCAAGTTTCCCTCATGTTGGGGACCCCAGAGCTGGGTGCAGCACTGTAGGAGGGTCCCATCAGAACAGAGGGGCCAAATTCCCTCCCTCGCCCTGCTGCCCACACTGCTTTGGATGCAGCCCAGGACAATGCTGGTTTCCAAGCTGGGAGTGCACACTGCTGGCTCATGTCCAGCCTCTCATCCACCAGCACCTTCAAATCCTTCTTGGAAAGGCGTCTCCCATCCTGCCAGCCCACAGCCCTCAGGCCAGGTTGTCAGTGCCAGCAGCAAATCTCACCAAGGCCGGTAGAGGGGAAAAAATTAGAATTTTGCCTGGAAAAATAGAATCTTTTTGGTTTTTTAAGGCGCTGGGTAGCTGTGACCTGCAGTACAAGTGTGATGCTCCTGGTGCACAGGGGCCATGTCATAGGGCACTGGCATATGGACAAGGTTGGAGATGCGTCAGCATGGATATGACTTATTGGGTTCTTTCTCCTGGCAAAGGCTCTGGAGCAAGGGCTTTAGTGCTCTGTATTTAGCAAATGCAGTTGCAGGTCATGAGAATGCTAAAAATCTATTGCTCGAGCACTGGAAGTCTAGGAAAGGAAAACAAAATTCTTGATGCAAAAAAAGAGCCTCCCTGTTCTTCCAGAGCCTGGCCCTCTCCTTGGGCACGTCCCAACCTTCTTCCTGGGGCTCTGTCAGTAATTTGCTCACAGCTCTTTACAGGCATCACCAGAACAAACCTCATTTTTCAGGAAGGTGCTCTAAGTGTTGGGGAAAGGGGATTGCTGTGTGTGTAAGAAATCCCAGCACAAGACGTGGCGATGCTTCCATTTTATTGGGGTTTGAGCGGGTGAGGGGACAGCTTTGTGCTCTCAACTCTCATCTCAGTTTAAGCGAAGTTGTTGCGGGGAGTTTGGCACATTCCTCTGTTCTTGATGCGCACGTGGTCACTTCTTTGCCTGCAAGAGAGGTTAAAAATGTTGGGGGGCTGCCCTCGGGTCCCTGAGACACAGCAGAGCCTGGCTCAGAGGAGAAAGGCAGAAAGAAAGGAAAATACTGCTTAAATCATCATCTAAGTGTTATTCACAGCAAGCAAGGCCACATATTCTTGACAGGGAGTTCAGGGTTACCATGGACATGTGTTAATTAATTCCAATAAGCTCAAGAGTGCTTTCTGACACCTCCTGGCAGGATAATTCACCTCCGTGCTGCAGGACAGCACTGAGACACCTCTAATGCCTGTCTGACTGCAGACAATAAAGGCTATGATTTTGTTTTGTAGGGTTTTAGAAACAAAAGACTGCCACTGTGTCTCACTTGGGTTTGGCTTGCTCCCAGCCTCCCCTCCGGATTGCTTCTGCAGCAAAAGTGAGGAAAATATATAAAAAAGGTACCTTTAAAAAACTATTTTCTTCTTTTTGCCCAGCAGTGGACATGATTCTTCTGAATGGTTCCATTTTCACAAGGAATCATGATATTCTCCTCTTTGGAAAGACAGATCCATTTCTCAGGTGCGTTAGAGAAATGCTGGTAAAATGATCTGCCTTTTGCAAAAAGCATTTTGCATGCTGGTCACAGTGAAGTGACCACAGGCGACAAGCGAGCCACTGCTGCCACAGGGACCCGCCAGATGCTCAGTTATTCCCAGACTCCTCGCAGGCTTCCAGCTCTTGTCAGGCCAGTTGCACACAGAAAACTGCAAATGACACTTCATCCTGCCTCCTGGCTGAATTGTCCCCATGGACCAAGGCTTTAGAGATGAGGACACTCCGTTTATCTCTCCCCCAAGATATTTGGCACCAGGCAGAGTCCTGAATAAAGCTTCAGAGCCCAGATGGCCCTGGCCAGGAGACCACAAGGCTGTTCCTAACCTCAGAATTCCATCACTTGGGAACAGAACAGGGGAGCTGCAAGGCTCAGGGCTGTGACCCACAGGAGCAGCACGTTTCCAGTTGCAGCTGCTCAGAGCTTGCACAAGCAGGAGTTTTAGGAGCTCTGGGAATGCAGCGCCTGTCAACACAAGTCGGATGCAGCACCAGCTTCTCATCCATCCCATCCCTCCTCTGACTCCTTCTCGGCCCTGAATCCACCACCAGCTCAGTCTTTCCCTTTCTTGTACCCCAGTTTGCCTTCTTGTGAGCTTCCATCCCCTGTGAAGCTGCTCTCTGCTCTGGGGAGATGGAGCATCCTGGATGCCACTTTGCACAGCTGACTGTGGAGCCTTCCCTGCTCACTTTACCCTGCTCCTGGTCCATGGCCAAAGCCCTAATGATGTTGTGTCTGATGAACCTCCCACCCCCATCTGTTGCACAATACAGGGACAGCTGGTGCTGGGCTGCTGGCTTCCAGCAGGGTCATTACCACCCTGCCAGGCCGTGCTGGGTCATTAACTGTGGTGCCTTTGCTGAGGAGATCCCACTCAGCCTCTCTCTGCCCGACTGCATCATGCTCAGCCTTGAAAGGTGAACCAGCATTTGAGCAGAATATGTGGCAGCAGCCTGGGTTAATGAAGCAAAGAGGGGACAACCCAATTGACAATATTTATCCAGGCTCTTTTTCTTCCTGGTGATCTGGATTCTGTTCCTTGCTCCTGCAGAGTTAGCAGGGAGGCGATGCTCCTGAAAGCAGAATTTGGCTCCACAAACCCACACGTCCAGAGACAGAAAAGCTGGACTTTGAGCTTCTGCTACAAATGTCTCTGCTGATGGCAGATGGCCTGTGAGCCTGATCACCAAAAATCCCTGCCTACACCAGGTGAAGTCAAGGGTGAAGCTCCCTTAGCCCTGCAGACTGGGGCATCTGGCTCCAGATAAGACTCAATCTTCCCAAAAGAGATTTTTGAACCACTTAATAGCATTGAGTTGGAAGTAATTCCTTCACTTGTCTGACACAGAGTGCTTCCAATGTACAAATATATTTTAAATTACCTAGGGCCCAAGCCAGATGAAATGTATCAAGTCTTGCCAGAGACACCCTTAGCATTTGGACCTGGCCTTCTGCTAGAACAGTGCAATCTGGCATCAGCACAGCTTAAATATAAAACTCATTCTTAAAAATACCCAGAGCAAATTGTGTCCTTTCATATGCAGAGAAGACAGAAAGCAGAGCTCAGCTATAAATTTCTGGGGTGAAAAAACACAGTTTTTTCCTCAGCCACCACACATCTGAGGTCATCTGGAAAAATATTCTTCAGCCCGTGTGCTAGATCTGGGCAGACTTCGAGGACGTTGCCATTTGTCTGAGATCCTGGATGCCTGCCAGCTCTTGCTGCTGCTTGGCAGCTGCAGGTATGGGGAGATTTTTGCTTGTGGGCAGCGTGTGTGCTGCGAGCCACACGCACGGGCCCGTTCCTCAGCTGGAGTCCACATGCTCCGAGCAGCTGTGCAGGAGGCCAGATCTGTGCCAGATGTGCTGGGCTCCCTGCCCAAGCTCCACCCAGCTGCATGCAGACAGCTTTCTTTCTAGGAAATCCCAGATATGTGTGGTAGCCCTCATCTGTGTGGCATTTGGACTTGCAGCCGTTCCAGATACTCACAGGTTGTGAAGGCACAACAGGCACTCGTTGCTGTACAGGAGGTTATCCGTGCCACAGATGGGGTCAAACTCCCTGGTACACCCTCTTCCCAGGTTGAAATTCTCACAAGAAGGCTGGAGACACAAAAGGTTAATTTTGAAAATGTTAAGCCTGTTCTCAATTTACCAAAGGAGCTTTGCTTTCCCAGAGAGGTGCACATTTTGTCTGTCTTCATAAGCCATCCTCAGAGCTCTGCTGTGAGCTCTCAGAAACACTGGGACCATCTGCCACCGTGCCCCTTGGCCAGCTGAACTCCACCTGGCCCTGCTGCACACCCTTAGGATTTACAGTCTAAATAGTGCTCCATGGGCACTGCCTCAGCAAGTTCTTCCCAATTTTTATTTTTATGCCACAGCAATATCTGTCCTCACACTTGCAAGCCAGAGACTAAGGGGACTCCTGACTTTCTTGGCAGGTAACAGCAATATTTGGCTTTTTAGGAACTTTTCTTTCAGTGGTTGGGGGCAATGCAGTGGAAAACCAGTACCATCACTGGGATCTTGCTGTGGCACTGCAGGTGGAAGGGGGTTCCCAGGCACTGGCATTTTTGGGCTGTCCACCCAGTCTGCTTCGCTGTATTTAGCAATGATGGCTCCCCAGTGTTTGGGTTAGTGCTGTCTCACTTTTGCTACATAAAAGAGGAAACTTCACCTCTGTTCCTCTGAAAGCAGCTGCATCCATCTCGGCGTTTCCTAGAGGAAGAGGAGAGAGAGAAACAGAAAGGGAGAGAGGGAGAGAGAAGACACCTTAGCACGCATGACTCGGGCTGGTTTCAAGGGGGACAGAATAAAGGCAGTTTAGGCTGAGGACTGTATGTCTTCACTTAAACACCTTTGTCCAAGAAAATAATTCTTTCCCTTGGATCACCCACATTTTTCAGCTGAATCCTTCCCTGCTGTGTCACCCTCCTTCTCTTGGCAGAAACACTGTAATGGTGCAAGGCCCTGCCAAGGCAAAATGCACTTCTAGAGATGTCACCTGCCAGCTGTCAGGGAGCTAAGGTGGCTTTTGTCCTGTCTTACCACATGTTCATGAGTACCTGAGAAACTCCTGCTGGCACTGGACAGGTGCTGGAGTAAATCCAGGGCGATTTTTCTACTTTTACTCAGTTTTTACCACAAGCAAGCAGAGCAAAAGACAAGTTGTTTAAAGTCTCTGCTAGAAGGTGACCCTAAGGTCTCACATCAAAGCTGGTGGGATCAAGCCATGACTTTGGGCTTCCCCGTGGAGCCGCTGGCCCTGAGCTGGCAGCTGGAATCACAAGGGTGGAACACGTGGTGGGTGTGTTTTGAAAAACAACCTGAATTTTTTAGCAAAAGGCAGAACTGAGAAGAAGATCCTGTTTTTTTTTTTTATAAACCCAGAAGTCATCTACATGGAGGGTTTATACTACATCTGCACTAACAACCAGCATGGCCCAGTAGCAGTGAGGCATTTTGGTGCTGAGGAGCTGGTAGCCACACTGTTTAATTGTTCAAGGGTTTTACTTTGGGCTAACACTGGTCCAGACCCAGGAGCTGCAGCTCACTACGTGCTCAGTTCATCTGAAATGAGCCCAGGTTTTGTGCTCAGACCGCCCTGCAATGGCAGCCTCTGTGCAGTAAACAGGATGACAGAGGACCTGCTCCAGAAGCACCCTCCTCTTTGGAATGAGCCCACTAAAGCAGGACCTGAGGAGCAGCAACAGCTCATGTTCTCATCCCTCTGCACCATATGGGATTTTGAAAACACAGTTGGCTTAAACATTGGCTTTGGTAGTGAGAGCTGCATTTTCCCTTGCATAGATTCATTTCCTGTCTTCTTGAATTTGCTTTTTTGAAACCAGAATAGCACTTATTCACTATGAAAGGATCACACTGTCCTAGAAATCACCAGTTACAGGACAAACCCTACCCCTGAAGAAAGAGCAGCAGGTCTGTTCATTTTTGGGAGCAAGTGCTGCCTTTCAAAGCCTTTGTTTTGGGTTTGCTCACAGCCAGGTACAGGTTTAATGCACATTGGCCATTGCAGCATTCCCTGCCCAGGGCCACAGCAAGGTCCAAGCACCAGCTGGTCTCTTCCCACTCTCACCTTCTCATGTGGCAGACCTGGGAGCTTTAGCAAGGAGAGGAAATAGCTCCTAGGAAAAATGTTGTACTCACCTTGGTAGAAGAAGAGTGCCAGGGAGAGGAGCAGGAAAACACCAGCTGCCTTCATGGTCGAGGTGATGTTTTACTGAGCGCAGCAGAGAGAAACTGGGATACTCCTGAGTGTCTCAGAGATCCTGTCTCTGGCACTCTGCTGGGACCTTTATACCTTTCCCCACTCCTGGCACCACACCACACAGCCAGCCCCACCCTGCAGTCCTGTGGTGACAACATTCAAAGTACGGGGACAGCACCAGGTGGCAACTGGCTCATTGGAGGGCGCAAGGATGAAAGCCTCTCCCAAGCCAATGGAGGAAATCATCCTTATCTGCAGCAAGGACTGGGGCCCTGTCCCAGGTGTGGGGTCAGCCCTGGGTCTGCGCTCCTGTGATAAAGCAACGTTGTACAAAGAACCAAGATGGGAGAAATGGGCAGGACAGGAAGGGAAATGCAGTTAGCAGCACTGTGGCTTTGATTAGTGACCCTGCTGCTGCCACGTGCAGGGTGAAGCTCTCTGCTGAAGCCACCTCTGGGTGAAGATGGCTTTGATCCACACACAGCTTTCCTGCTGTGATCCACAGAGCAGAGCTGGGGGGCTGCAGCTCCCCTTCCCTCCTTGGGCAGGCAGGAATGGGAGCAAGGATTGCTCTGGAGAGCACACAGAGCTTGCCTGTGCCTTGGGCTTGCTCGTGGCTACAGATCCAGTGCTGCTGTTTTGACTGCACATCTCTGATTGCAGACAGCAGCTGAAATGAGCTGCTGGGTCAGACGCTGCTCCCTTCCCCTCTCCCTGCCTGCAGTTGGGAGTAAACCCTGGGGATTTCCCACAGTTACACCACCAGTGGTGCATTGCAGAGAGTGGATCAGTCCCTCGGGGATTAGAAGGATTAATTAATGTTTCTAAAGCACTTTGATATCTCAGCCATAAATCACTGGAGAAGTGCAAAGCAAATTATTACTAATGGGGGCTTATGACTCAAAGACAGATTTTTAATTAGCTGAACAGGAAAAAGTCAATGCCAAGAGCAATTCAAGGAGCTGTTTGAGAGGGAGAAATCTCAGCTCCACTGGCAGCTGCTCCATTGTCCAAGGGATGCCCCATTCCCAGCGTGGCTCTGGAGGATGCTTTCCCCTGCCATAAACATCTCTTTTGATTTTGCTTCAGTGGTCATGGGGAGATTCCTCCCTCTTGACTGGGTTTCCCTCTGCTCTCCCTGGGCTGACCTGCAACATGAGGCAGAAAGAACTGCTCCTAGTGGCATCTCTTATTTTATTAATTCAGAGAGTAAAGCTGGATTTGGGTATGACCTGCTCAGCAGCTCTCAGGAGCTGGGGGGTGGGTGTTAGTGGACCTCTGAGCAGGCAACAATCCTTTAGCATGCCTGGGACAATGGTTCAGGTGGTGTTACCACCCTCTGAGGAGCAAGGGAAGGAGGGATGATAATTTTTTATAGCTAAAAGAGGTTCACCTCATCCAACATTGTCCCCTGTTTTTTTTCCTCTTCAATCTAAGCCGTGTAAATAGAACAGTACTGAACAGAATTTGTCTGATTACCCATGTTTGGGGCATGCCCACTCCTGGTAAAACACATTTTTCAGTTTCAAGATCCTTGCTGTAGCCAGGAAATGTGATAGTTTGATTGTCCAGGAACAGAAACGTTTTTCCTCAGATTCCTTGGAAACATCCAGGCGCCTTTCCAGACTTGAGCTTGACGGGTACATCCTCACTGTTTATGCTCTGCAGGTGGCAACGTGTTGGCTCCTGGGACATTTCAGGGTGTGTAATGCCATGGTTTTCTCCTTCCTCCAGAAGTCAGAGGCATCCAAGCACAGGCAGGCTGCTGACCTTCCCCTGCCTCCTGGACACTTCTCTCTTCATCCTCTTACTGCTGAGGCTCCTGATAGCTTTGCACTGGCTGATTTTAATGTTCCCAACTGCTCCCAGAGCTGGATGAGATTAAGTACTTTGCTACTGAGGAAGGTTGAAGAAACTCCAGATTATGGAGTGCAATGGACTGAACTTAATTATTCCACAACGAATTGAGCCAAACCAACAGACTCAAGGGCAGTTGCCTCTGCCAAAAGAAGATTCCAGCATAGGCTGCAGCTGAACAGCAGGCACACTTGGGTTTTAATGCAGTTTCTCCGTTAGCAAATGCTTTTCCTTTCCAAGCATCTCCACTGACAGCTGTGTCTTTATGAGATGCCTTCAAAAACGGGATTTCACGGCTCCTCTCTCCTGACTGACAACAATTCGATATCCTTCAGGAAAATCAAACAGAAATGCTTGGGGCTCGTTTGACTGGGGAGGAATGAAAAAGAGCTATGAGCTGCTACTGCACTGGGTGCTCCTGGTGCCGTCCTCGGCAGTGTGGGCTTTCTCAGGATGTGTCACCTTGTCAGAGCAGCGTGTTCCTCCAAACACATCAGCTGGAGGAGTAGAGAGAAATGAGTCAGGTGGCTCTGCCAGCCATGCTGTGTGACTTGCTGAGCCTGTCGTGGAGAATTGGAGGGGACAGGCGGGTCGCAAAGCAGGGGCTGGCATGGGATGGTGTCCCCTTGGCCACCTTGTTGGGTGGTGGCCACCACACAAGGGCTAGGACACAAGATCTCTGCAGCTGCTGGTGGTGTCTCCTCCTGGATGCTGGGAGCACTTGGAGAGAGAATTGATGCTGCACAAGGCATGAGGGGAAGGGGCAGTGGGTAAGGGGGCAAGTTGAACAGCCAGGTCTGCCTCCAGGTGGAGCAGCAGGAAGAGGTGATTCTCCTTCTGCAGGATGAATTTCTGTATTGTCTTTTGGCCAAACCTGAGTGTTTTCAAGTTGCATTCATTTCAGTGGTAAAGTGTTGCAAAGGGATAAAAAATTACATTGCAGGGCAATTAAAAATACGGGAAACTACCTATTTCACTGTGATGGTCTCTCCATGACAAGCTGGAGGATCCCTTGTTGTAACCAGGGCGGGAATTTGGTTTTTTTTGTGGAGACTTGATGTACAAAGCCACCAGTGCCCCAGGAAACCAAAAGAGTCGCCAGTCCAAAGCATTCAAAGATCACAAACCAGACCCAGATGATCATGAATCACAGCTTAGAAGTCACAAATGGTTCTTAAACCTCTTCCAAATAATGGCTTTTCCCAACAAGCTCATTAGGGATGGTTCACATTTTCCAGCCTTCTCTTGAAGCAGAGGATGGGCTAAAGCAGGAGCAGAGCTCCTTGTGCAGTCCCAGCCCCTTTCACCAAGGAATGACCGTGACCAAGACCTGCACCATGGCCCTGTGCTGGTGGCATCTCTGAGCTTGGTCCCTTGGTGGAGGTTTTAGGGACTTTCCTTGGGATTCATGAAGGACAGGCACCAGAGGCTCCTCCGTGCTCAGGATCACAGCAAGGCAGCGGGGGACTTTGCTGCTGCCCTGCAGTGGGTGGGATGAGTGAAATTTGGAGAAAGGCTGATGCAAATGTCAAACCTAGAGATGCCACAAAAACCAGTTCCCAAGATGCTCAAAGCTCTTTTGGGTGCAAAATGCTGCTTGTGTTGGATTTAAAAGTTAAAATGCCTAAATTTGTGCTACCTGCCAGGCCTGGATCTTGCAGGTGTAGCCAAGACCTTGTCCATGGTATCCAAGGTGGTTTTGAAAGGTGTGCGAGACAGACCAAGCCTTTTTGCATTAGCAAGGTGAGAGCAGTGTGCAGGGATCAGCTCTGTCCAGGGAATACTGCTCAAACATTGATTTTTCCTGCAGGAAAAAAACCCAACCCAAACCATAATTTGGTCGGTAGTGATTTTTGTCTTGGATTCTTTCCCATTTAATGCTGAGAAAGCTATTCTGTTGCTTTGGGTACATGGGAGATATTGAACGTTCTGACAGTTTAGGAAAAGGGATTCTGTGAGTAGCTGCTGAGAAAGCATCACATATTTTCTCCAGCTGCAGGAGAATCTCTGGAGTCCAGGACAGCATATCAATTTGTTTTCTCTTCTGTTCTGGAAATCTTGGACTTGGGACCTCTGGTTTCTGGGGAGGGGGCTGGGCATAGCTACAGGATAACACTACCAAATCATCATTTCTACTTTTACTAAAGCTTCTGTTTGTTATCCTTCAGCAAGGGCAGCGTGTCCATGAGGGAGACCTTTGGAAATCTACAGGCATCTGCAGCTTTGCCTGAGCCTGGGTATTGCTGACAGCAGTGTCTAAAGACAAAGACATCACATAAATCAGAGCTTGTTGGGTTGTTCAGAAGAGGCCGTGACTGGATGCCAATCAAATGCTTCCTGAGGAGGATGATGAATGTGCTGGGGACAGGCTCTGTGTTTGTGAGGGTTCCTGGCTGGCATTGGCTGGGGTGGAGTTCCCAGCCTGGTGTGGAAGCTCCCAGCCCAGCTCCTGGCCTGCTTGCCTCTGCTCTCCCACCTCTCAGTGACACCAAACCCCACGGGCTCAGCCCATGGAAACCTTTCCCTTGTCTGCTGTGACTTACTGGGTGATGGCACGTGGCTGCTGGGAACTGGACTGTGGTAGCTCTGGTCACCTTGGGGCTCTGTCCCTTGCAGGTGACCCTGGGTCAGTGCAGGGGGTGCCGGCTCCTTTCTCCCCTGATCTTTCATGCCCCTCTCCTTGGGTCTCTTGCAGGATCTCCATGGGATGGAGAGGCAACGAGAGCTGGAGAGAGACTCGAGTGCCCAGGAGCTGAAACATGGAGCTCTGCTTTTCTTGCTTTCCCTGGCATTACCGAAGAAAAAAGGATCATTTTTCCCACTCCTACAGAAAATGCCAAAAGCGAAGTATTCCTTCATAAAATTGCTTCTTTATTAAATCCTATCTGCCTCCCGCCCCCACATCCGACTGCCCCTGCGGCTGCCGGGAGATCCAGGGCAGAGTGATTAAGCACTGCGGCTGATAATTGGGCAAACACAGATTTCAATCTCCTCCAGCAAATCACTCCCCCTTTCTCCAACTCAAAGCAGCACCCTGTGCCCACTCCCTCTTCCACGGAGCTTAACCAGATGGGAAGCATATGGTCCCTGTCCTTTCGGGGTCACAGACTCAGGGGGGATGATCCAGTCTGATCTGTCCTTCTGCTCAGCTCAGGCAGCTCTGTCTCTGCTCCCAAGGACCACATGTCCCTTGTCCAGGGCTGGATCTCACTCTGAAGTGTGTGTGAGGTAACTTAAGAGCTCTGGTGTGAGCCACTCTTGATAAGGAGCCTGGATCTCCAGTGCCTGGTGCTGTTTGCATAAAAGATCCTGCCTGCCTGCAGCTACTGT